TGCGATCCCTCTCAGGTGACACTAGCAGCACTTCCTCATCGCGTCTATCCGGTGACGATGCAGCTTTGAGCACCGGCGAAGCTGGTGTTGGCATTGCCCTGAGTCCCCTGGATGAAGCTGCTCTGGTTGATTGGATTCCAATCAGTAGCCGGATGGGTGCGGTCCGATTGGCTGGCTCGTTCAAAGCTTCGAAGTCGCGTGGGCCTAACAGGTGTCTATTCATCTTCACTGCCTACGCGCCCACAAACTGTAGCGATGATTCGGTAAAGAACGACTTCTACCGCCAGCTGACCCAGCACGGACACTGTTGTGCTGGCTGGTGATATGAACGCACAAGCTGGCAAGTTGTACATTGATGAAATGCATCTGGGCGTTCAGCACGGTTTAGCCTCACGAAATGATAACGGTGAGCGGTTACTTCATTTGTGTGAGGATGTTGGCTTATTTCTTGCGAGCACTAACTTCCGACACAGCACCCGCCGGAGGGTGACTTGGCGCCCACCAGCCTCAAATCAGCCTTGGACGCAGATCGATCAAATCGCGATAAGTTACCGATGGAGAGGCTGCGTCCAGAACTGTCGCTCGATTTGGAGCACATGTGTGGACACCGATCATGCACTTGTATGTGCTGACATGCGGATGCGTTTTGGCGGACGTCCACGACGACGCTGTGAACGCATTGATACCAGCCAACTGACAAAGCCAGCTGTTCTGAATGCGTATCGAAATACGCTGACATGCGAGTTGAGTAAGCGCTCACTGGAGACAATTGATGGTCACTGGTCACATGTTCACCAGATCTTACTAGCAGTAGGAAAATCCTCATGTGGTATGTCTAATAGCCAACATGGATATTGGGTCTCTTCGCGGTCTCTGGAACTTATCGACGCTAGGCGGCATATCCCGGCTGGAAGCGAGCACAATGAAACTAGCAAAGAGCTCCGGGCGAGACTCCATGCTAGTCTGAAGAGAGACCACGAAGCTTGGTGGTCTCATCATGCGTCAGATATGGAAGTGGCTGCTGCCCTTGCTAACCACCGTAAGTTATTTTGTCTGATACGGGAAACGGGCAGCAGGAGACCTGGTGTTAGTGAAACAATTTGTGATGAGAGTGGACAGCCTATTCACAATTTGCCAAAACGTTTGGAGCGTTGGGCTGCATTTTGAAAAGCAACTTAATCGGCCGGAATTGTTCGATTCTTCACCGGCCAGTGATCGCACTGCTCCGTGGGCTGTCCCTTTGGATTCACCCTCTCGCTCAGAAGTCGAACGTGAGATCGGACTGTTGAAGTTGAACAAAGCCGCAGGACCAGATGATCTTCCTCCAGCCCTCTTCAAATTCGGAGGCTCTGCTTTTGTTGATGCTTTGCATGAATTACTAGTGAAACTGTAAGAGCAGGAGACTATCCCAACCGACTGGACCCACTCCGTTATTGTTCACATCTTCAAAGGAGGCTCGCGTTCGGAATGCGGCAGCCCTAGAGGAATCAGTCTGATCTTCATCGCCTTCAAATTACTCGCCTCCTTAATCCTTCACAGACTGACTGGCGCTCATGAAAGCCAGATCTGGGAGGACCAAGCCGGGTTTCGTCAAGGTCGTGGCTGCATTGACCACCTCTTCACTTTGCGTCAGTTGTTGGAGCACCGTCACACATATTGGCGGCCCACCGTATTCCTGTTCCTCGACATCAAAGGTGCCTTCGATTCGGTTGATCGATGTTAACTTTGGGACTGTCTACTCAGGAAAGGTGTGCCCGAGAAATATGTAAGTATTATCCCAGCATTATTCGTGCGTAGCATAGGCAGAGTGAAGGCTTACGGCAAGCTGTCGCCACCCGTCAATATCTCCAGCGGTGTGAGACAAAGGTACCTGCTGTCACCTTTCCTTTACAACTTCGCTACTGAGGAAGACATGGAGACTGCATTTACAGGACATGACTTGGGAAGTGTGGAGCTACTCCCAGGAGAACGACTTATTGACTTGGAGTATGCGGACGACATTGCCCTCATCTGTGACAGCTCCCATCCGTGCCAAGCCGCGCTGGATAGATTAGCACTGGCTGTTAACCGCTTCGGGCTTTGGTTTGCACCATCAAAGTGCAAAGCGTTCCTCCGAGATTGGCAGGGATCGTCTCCTGCGCTGGCCTTTGGTGGGGATCAGCTAGAAGTCGTTCAATAATGCAACTACCTGGGAAGTTGTGTCAGCGTCATCGAGATCGAAGACGAGATCACGAACCGTATAGCAAAAGCTCGGGGAGCTTTTGCTAACCTTCGCCACCTATGGCGGCGGCGAGACATTATTCTTGCCCTGAAAGGTAGAGTGTACAATGCAGCTGTACGTTCGACTTTACTGTACGGTTGCGAATTCTGACCCCTAAGATCGGTGGACATAAAGAGGCTAGTTACGTTCGACCATCTGTGCCTTCGCAGTTTGGCTCACATCTGGTGGGAACACCACGTGAGTAACGAGCGTGTTCGACGCCTTGTTTACGGCACTGGAAAAGGAACTGAACCGCTCAGCACCGTCATTTCACGCACCAGGCTCCGATGGCTGGGTCACCTGTTACGCATGCCAGCCCACCGACTTCCACGACGTGCATTGTTTGCGCACCGGGGGTGTGAATGGAAGAAGAGGAGGGGTGGCCAAGCGATGACTTGGTCCAGAGGAATGAAGGTCCTCACTTCTGAGCTGGCCTCGGTTGCAGCGTCACGACTCCCTGGTTGGAGTCCAAAAAGAGGATGAACACGTTTAGCTGGATACACTTGCTGACATGGCAAGGAGCCGACCTCAGTGGCGTTCGTGCTGTGATTTTCATTGCCCCTCCCCATCGCTTTTAGCCTCCCCCTCTATCTACGATCTCATTTCGTAGCGTAAAACATAACAATTTTTCTTTGTGCCTAGTAGCCGGCTGGTAGCTTACCGGAACGACGCCTATCCGTTGCTGGTAGCTCAGCTGGCATGCAACTGTTGTATTTATTTTCCTTTTTCATTTATGTATTGCGGCACAGTAGCTGAGGTGTTTTCCAACTCCAGCTGACGTGTATAATGATGATGACGATGAATCAGTGCACAGACCAAGCGGCTTAAATGCTCAGAGATGCTTGACCGTTTAAGTTTGGTAATTTTGTTACTTGGTGGGTAAAAGTTGTCCGCTGAACAGCACTTACCCGGAAGTTGGTGAAATTTCAGCGAAGCTATGCCATATATGGTAACATAGTGACCGTTTCGTGTAGCTCGGTGGTCCTAGGCAAATACTAGCTGCTAGTTTAAGCCGCACATAAGCCAAATGGAATGCGTCAGGTTGACGATGTTTGAAAACTTGAATCGGCCGTGCAATACGGGTTGAACTTGCGAGAGCTGTCTTATTTGGTCGAGATGTGAGGATTTTCAGCTTGTCGCATTGAATTGCTCTTACTACTCGCTTGGAATGTTGCGTAGTCAGGGACGATATGACACTACTTAAGAATAATGTTAATTATAGTAAGTCTGTATCTTCCTAACCTCGGTCAGTAAATCGCAGTAGCAGTAAGAACACACTGGCTTCCGTATTGGCCGGGTGTGTGTGAACCAAATATTCACGCACCGCCAGAGCCTGGAACACCGCCAGCTCAAACAAAGGCCTACCATCATTGCGTTGCTAGACATATGTGCTGAATTCGACTCCTTTGACTGATTTGCGCTGTGGCGTTGCTTGCTAAATAACGAAGTCCCAGAAAACACACTGCCATCCTAAGAGCACTCCATATCTTTTGCAGAGTGCGGGTCTATGACAAGCTTTCGTCGGCCTTCGCAGTCAAGAGCAATGTAGCACTGCTGCTCTATGTCCTTTTTCTTCTTCAATTTTGTGATTGAAGACATCCTACCGAGAGCTCTGGAAGGTTACCAACATTTTGGTGTACAGCCTCTACTAGGCAAGCAAGCGACCGACTTAGATTATACCGATGATATCGCCTCATTTGGTGATGACTCACAGAGCATACAAACCATTCTAACCGGTTTCGCGACTGGAGCACCTAGCTACGGAATTTGATTCACCACATGGAAGTGTAAAGTTCTGCTCTAGGATTGGCACTCGCCCGTTTGCATGCCCATCGTGGAAGGTACACAGCTTGAATAAGTGGATAGCTTTGTCTACCTACACCGATCCGTGTCTGCTGGTGGCACTATTGAGAAGGAGATATTTCCCTCCCCATCTCCAAAGCTCGGTCGGCGTTTGTCAACCTGAAACCTTGTGGCGGCCTCGGGATGTCTCCCACTTGGTAAAGGGTCACGTTTATAATGCACCGTTCGGGGGGGGGGTGTTGTTATGCGGAAACGTGGATTAAATGAGCCGGCTCTAGACCTTCGACAATGGGTGCTTGAGAAGGACTGCTCCTGTGCCGTTGCAGCAGTGTATCTGCAACGTAGACTTCGTTTGTGAGTAAATGCGCGTAGTTCCTTCAACGGGCTCATTTTGTTGCATCAATTAGGATGGATCGCTCATGTACTGTGTACGTCAACTCAGAGTATATCCTACTGCGCCACTTTTGCTCGTGCAGGACTACGCTGGAAGAGATCGGGTGGCGATCAGCCGTCCATTTGGCCGCAGCATATGAACACGTTGACATCACGCCTTGTTGCCGTTGGATCCGCACGTCTGCCTGGTTTGGGACCAAAGGATGAAAAGTGCCGATGACTGGGAGCAATTCAGCAAATGGCGCGCCATCGAAACCAGTGGAAGATCTGTGTACATACCTGTTTAGATTCGGATTCGTAATGTCTGACAATTGGAAAAGGCAAAAACTAAATGTGCCGTGTACAAATAATAACAAAAACAAACAAAATATTCCGGCATGCTCGCGGCAGAGTAGCTGAAATCTGTTGCTCCGCTTGAGCTAATGTGCCGTGCAGTGAATACACCTGTATTCTTCCAGTGATTTCCATGATTTTGTTTGGTTCTAACTCTATTCGTTAGACTGTTGGTAATGATAATAATACCTCCCGTAAATCATGATTTCAGCCTGTCCTGTTCAAGTCATCAACACTACCACTCACTTGCTGCTTCAAGGCATGATCACCGACTGGAATGAGCTGAGCAATGGCTACGAAATACCAAATCTTTTCTGTGAGCAACAAGTTTATTTCTTACATTAAACTTTCATTCAGATGGGACCTACAAAGTACTCGATGAAATCTTACCCTGTTTGGACTCTGCTCTTGGAGCGGGATACCGAGGAATCGGTAAGGTCTTTATACTTGTTGCCGTTGATTCCTAAAGACACCGCCGCCTATTATCACAATGAAAGACGAATCGGAGAGGCATTGAAAATTTTGAGGCCAAAGTACAACCTGGAGCGGAAAGATATATTCTTGTCCACAAAGCTTCGTAAGTGCTCCAAGATTACAGCACAGTATTCTATGTTGGAGTGTTTTAACACTACATGCCGCGTCAGGGTCTACGGCGACTTTTAGAAATCTTTCCAGAAAAAAGGCGTTCGTCAGGGTTGTACAATTTCCCTATTTCTGTCCAATTTTGTCGTGGATTCGATCTTAGAGTGTTCACTCGCGGGATTTCACGATGTAGGCCTTGAAGTGCTGTCTAGTGAAAAGCCAGTTGATCATGAATATGCGGACTATATTGTATTGCTGTTTAACGAGGTCGGAGCGGCCTTGTTAACCCTGAATCACTTCTCTAGAGTAGTCACCTCATTCGGGATGCTCTATGCGCCTTCAAAGTGCAGTGTTATTGCAGGACCGCCAACCACTTGCTGACCTCTCAACCCTTGATAGCAACCAACTCCAGGCTGTTGATTAATTCATTTACTTTGCAGTTGCATTAGCAAGGATGGGTGCATAAGCACCGAAGTCAATCCAAGCATGGCGATAGCTAGAACCGTCGGCTTGAATCTGTGGCAACTATGAGGTAAGAAAGGTGTTTTCCTCGGTCTGTAAGGCCGTGTTTAAAATAACACTGTGAGGGCCATCCTATCTATGGGAGCAAGACTTGGCCCTCTGATCTGAGTATCTTACCTTTGGTCATCTCTGCTTGCGAACCATTGCTGTGGTCTGGTGGCACCACCGTGTCCCCAACGATGATGTGCGCAGACGAGTGTTAGACAATAAATATCAGGATAATTCCTTAGAACAAAAGATAGCACTGAATAAGTTGCGTTGGTTTGAGGGCCTACTGCGTACGCTCGGTCTGCGCTTACCGAGAAGGGTGTTGTTTTATTTACCGGACGTAGAATGGCGCAAGGCCTGTTGGGTAAAATTTGACGTGGTAGCGTGACATGAGGTCAATGATTACAAAAATGGATGCCGTTGGTCTGTCTCCTCTTCCAGGCTGCAGTCCACGTGACCCACCTTGTGCTTGGCTCGTAGTCGGCCCCAGTGGCGCGTCTGCTGACGTCTGGTAATCGGACTGCCTGGTTAAATTGTGTTTGGTGCTGAGTTATCTGCGGGGTAATGGCTGTTTATGACGCGGGTAGTGAAAGCCACAAAGAAGCAGTCTCGCCATCCGTTTGTAACGGTATGCTGTTGACAAGATGTGGGCACCTTGGCCCTAAATGCTTGCTTAGAGCATTACGGTGTTACGGTAGGTCCCCTTCTTTCCCCCTTCGTTCCCTAGGACACCGTGGTTTTACAACAGCGAGGCATCAGTTCGAATGGCTGATGTATTACTGTTGCTGATTTTGATGATGATGTGGTGAAAAAGCGAAGCAGGGTTTTTTTGAATCTCACCACCACAGTCCTCTAAGTGCACTACAGAGCTCATCATACGATCTCACTTGTCATTGGTTGTTTGGACCCGGACATAAATGAACAATCAGACCTTTATGAACACGCAATGCATGTGGTAGCAGACCACACGAATGCGCATCTGGGCAATATGCACTGGACAGCCTTCTTTTAGTTTTCGGTTATTTATTCTTCTGCCTTGCCACACAGTGGATTCAGACACCAGGTGAAGTGATTTAAGGGAGTACCTTACTACTTGCTAGAGTTATAACACTGTCAATGATACCAATGCCATGCGTCTATTTAATGTGTAGTATGATCTGGTTTGGTTCTAGGGTTGCACTCTGAGGGCAGAAGAAGCTACAAAAATCTGATCGATCGACCGATGCTTCCATTTCACTTTTGACTATTATGGTTGCAAGCAGCGCAAGCTGCTAAGTGTCTAGTGAAGCAGAACATGATTTGACGTGTCCTGCGAGCATGTTTGGATATTACTCGTCTAAGGAATAATGGTTTCGATCGATTTCTCACCTATGCGAAAATATATTTACCGGTACAGTCCACAAATCGCATTGGCCTGTTGCACTCCATTCTGCTGATATCACTACTTCATCCAAACCATCTGTATTTGGAAGGACGACGCTTAAATTCCCTACCATAGAGCCACTTACAAAATTAGACCTCTATCTGACGCCATAGGCTCCACGGATTAAGGCAGGTAAACGTAACCGTTTCACCTATTACACCACGGTTTAAAAATTTGGATGGTTTAGACAGGCGGAATGCTCAGTTGCCCATCAGTCAAGCATAAATCGTGGGGCAGGTCAAAGCAGCATTGATCAGCCAGCCCTTATGATAATAGTGCAACAGAAACACAATCTTTACTGACACGACAATAGCCGACAAAACCACTAACGCAGGCGAACAAGTGTGAGCCATGTTTCCTTCCCACGATACACCACATTGTCTGGAGTCCGCCCGCTATATGTCGATACGCTCAACCAGCTGCGATGTCTGGTAATTGCTGCGTGTTTCCCCCATATCTTTGCTTCTGTGCGTCTCCTTCCTGTCGGCCAGAATTCGTTCGATAGCTGGCGGGTCGTTTAGTCGTGGCTACATGGTTCTTGGGGTCAGTCTTGAAGGCTCCAATACCAGCGTATTCGTCTGATTCATTGCGCTTTTAACGAACGTCCTCTCTGTTCTTCTTTGTTCACACTCGCTACCGGTCACCGCTCCCGACCCGGTCTCAGGTCGTGCCATGAGGACCTCGCTGCTCTCTCTGGTCTCACTGGTTGCACCTGTTTCCGATTTTGCTCGCTTCGGTTTTCTAGGTCTTTCTATCCTCCGGGCTATCCTAGCGTTCCGCCGCCCTACAAAAGTAGAGTTTAACCTTAGTAACTGCAATAACACGAAGCGCAATAGAGCAAGTTGTACACAATTTTGGGTTTGTTTCTTCAAACGCATGGAGGAAATATCAGAGTTGTTATTGTGGAGCATAAAGTTAAATGTATCTGGCTAGTACATACTAATTTGAGACGGAGCTCGTAATCTGGCGCGGATACCAAATGTCAGGAGGGTCAGACACAGTGGGCTGTAGTTAAGATGAACTACAAACAGAGGAAGGCAAAAGAAGAGCGCGGGAGCCAGCGTCAACACCGTGACTCACAAAGAAGTAAATGATGGTCCGGATGTAGGCAAATATGACTGATGGGTAAGGGTGTATTCAAGCAAGAAAATTGTACTTAAAGATAGGCATTATCTTTCCGCGTGCCACAAACTCCAGGAAAACGACTACGGTGGTCCAAAAATATGACACTATTCAAAGAATTGAAAGTTTGTGCCCTTGAATTCAATCACAAAACCCTGACGCTCCTCTTATCAATTCACTCAGCTGTAAGTTTTTGAGTATGAGCTGCGTTGATCCCTCATGAATTACTGCAGTTGTTTGCCTGCAGCTTGTGATAGAATGGTGACTGGGCGTCCCTCAATCAGTGTTTAAAAACCATCTCAAATAACTAACTAAATACTTGAGAATATTTCCTAGCAGATTGGGTACGTTCCCGTTTTATTAGAAAGCATTTGTACAGATACTTCCATCAACAGCAAAACAACTAAATAACTAATATATTTCAAGACATTGGAAGACAGCGATTACTTGGCATAATCCTTTTGTGTTCGAGTTTTTCTATGGTCCCAGTGGGGGGTTAGAAGTGTTTTATCATTCAACAATAGTAAAAGACGGAGAGTTTGGGAGTAAGAAGTAGATATATCAGGCATTTCAAGTAAAGTAATATGGCCATCCATAGTACGGTCTCCTGGGGACCTGCTTCCACGACCTGCTTCCTTGAAAGGTTTAATAGGCTTTTTCACGTCTCATCTGGCCATGTACTTATGTGGCTTATAACTAGTAAGACTGCAGCATTTTGAATTATTTTATTTGGCTGTTGTTAAATACAAGTAGGTCGTCATCACGTTGAGTCATTTATTGTTTAGGCCGCTGATATCAGCGATTGGGCCGTCGTCACCTTGAAGCTTCTTTTATGGCATCTGTTATTTGCAATTATGTCGTCCTCAAGTTGACTCCTGTTATATTTTTAGGGGTGGTGCTGTTACATCCTACATACTTCCGCCATACAGTCAATTCTACAATTCGGTTGCTCCGAGTCACGTTTTTTTCTATCTTAGCCAGTGAGTATGTGGTAATTCGACTTGCGTTGGTGTGTTAAATAACTTGAATCTATAATCCGTCACCTTAAGAGATTGATCGAATCTTGGTCAACAATCGTACGGGCAAAATACATAGAAATGAAATGAAAGAACAGCAGCGGTAGTTATATAGCACATGTCTGACTTGTCAGATTCAAATTGTACATAAAGATTATCTAAACCAAATAACCTCCCTAAGTATTCGTTAAGAAAGTGGGCACAATGAGTATTAAGATAGCTCCAGCAGCTGCAGGCGATCCAAAAGCTGAGAATAATGATGCAAGTTCATGTTGTAGGGCATTAAGGACAATTGCAGGTACCCAGGTTACTGCCTTTCGAGAAGGAAGAGAAAACAGTTGTAGTGTAGAGCCAGTGTAAAGGGTGGATATAAAGGATTCCACAAGGATCGGTGTGGAAATGACGTTACGTGGATGTTGACCTTGCTGATCCTGACACACATCCATACAGACCGCTGCCAAACGTTTTACTCTACCCGAGACAACACCGTATCACAATCATTGTTAATTGCTTACCTTAAGTCTACCCGACTGTATTAAAAACCAAACCGTCTACGCTTGCGCTGCATCACCAGGTTGACATGAATACACATGAAGTAGATGGGGTACTTATTGCTGCTACAAGGAGTGTCTGGATGACAATTTCCTAGTCAAATGAAGAATATTTTGAACCATAAGAGTACCATCCACTTCAGTTGCGGCAAAGTTCCTGAAATAGGCCAAGGTAATTGACATCTGCAACGTTTTCTGTCAGCAAAAGGTGGCGGCAGTGACGGTAGAGCGATTGAACACTTTCCTGTAATTTCTTTTACAAATTATTAGACACATTAAGCTTCACGTGCAGTCAAGGCGGCCACCGTAACCCGTGTGAGCAGGCACTACACCAAATACAAAACAGACCTAGAGTTAGTGACAGTTTTCATTT